GTTCGGCGAAAGCGATGCAATGTTTGTTGTAATTTCGACTTTAAGTAACGCCTCTTGGGTCGCATTAAGCTTTCACGTTGCCTGAAAGACGTAATAATGCTTGTTTAACGTTGTGTTGAGAATGACAACGCGGTTGAGAATACCCCTGGGACCACGAATTATTCACAATATTTGTCTCGCATAACAAATTTCTTTGTTTTGAAAGCGCGTCGTCGAGCCGGCGCGTCGTAGATCGTAAACTCCCTAATATATGTACGAAGAAGGCAAGAGTGTAGAGGGAACCATCAAATTGCAATCTTCAAATGGAGCAAGCCTATGCGAGTGCATGCAGCTATTACCTTCATAGATAACTGTACTGTATACATGCAATAGCAACCTCGTACCCAGGCTCTTTCCACTAAGTAGCTTTACATGATATTTTCGAGCTGTTAACCACTTACTGTATTCCAGGTTAGGAAAGCAAGCTCTATTGCTGTGCATGATTTTTGGCTTGTAACTCCAGAATACGTAATTCACATAAATCTTGAAGCGCACATTTTTAATTTGGAGTTAGCCTCTTGGAGTTATGTACAGTAGCACCTTCGCGCCAGGGCGCCCTAACTTCTGCAGCCATGGACATTATTATTATTATTATTATTAAGTCTTTATTAAATAGGAAGGAGGCACAACAAACGTGTGCCTTTACAATTCCAATTGAGTTAAATTACAATTACAATGATTAAAAGTAGAATTACAATAGAATTATTTTATAGTGATTAAAAAAAAGATAAAATACTGTAGCTAATTATTAAAAATAGTCAAATAAGCATCTATTTAAAAACGAGCGTTTAAAACGTTCAGTTTTGATCATTGGTAGAATAAAAGAGTGTTTTCTTTCTCTTAAAGTTCTGGATCTCTTATCTGGGAGTAGGTTATGTAAGGCGTGATCCGGATCTTTCACAATTTTTGCAAATAAGGCCTTGTCCTTCTTCTCAACCAGTTGCGATATTTTATACTCTTTCAAGGTATATCCAAATCGATAAGCTCGTCTGAGGAATTTATCAATTCGTTGTAGATATTTATTCTGTAGAGCTGATCTCCAAACTTCAATTCCGTAGTGGAACAACGATAGAATTAGAATTTCAAACAATAGGTTTAAGTTTTCCTTTGTATAACCATAGGATCTGCAAACTCTAAGGATGTACATACGGCTAGCAGCCTTCGATAGGAGGGTGTCGACTTGTAAATCCCAACAGCAAGGGTCGTCCTGAAAAGCCATTCCGAGAAGTTTCAACCAGTTTTTGCGCTCAATACCATCCAATTGGAGCGGTAATGGCTTCGTTGTTCTGCCACGAACAATCATTTCCCAAGTTTTAGATATACTAAGAGCCATCCTATTATCACTCGCCCATCCTTTAATGTTCCTTACTTCGCTAGCTGCTGAATCTCCAGTAGTTTTCACAGGAGCACTAACAGTCAAGTCGTCCGCAAACTTAATCAAAAGATTACTATCAGGATCTTCGAGATTAATATCATTGACCATGAGTGAGAATAAGAAAGGGCCAATGACAGTTCCTTGTTGTACTCCTTTGTTGATATCTAGAAAATCCGTCACAATTCCATCTACCACGACTCGCTGCTTCCGATTTGTTAAAAAGTCTAAGATCCAGTTAATAACATAAGGATTAAGATTTGCCTGCTTTAGCTTTCGCACAAAATATCGTGGGGAACAGTGTCAAAAGCCTTGAAAAAATCGAAGGAAATTACTCTTACAGAATCAACTTGTGAGTACTGGAGCAAGATATGAAGCAAAGTCTTTCCATAACCAGTAAGGAAACCCATCAGGGCCTGGTCCAGTTCGTTTTAAATTTATCATAATGTTTTTAACACTATTTTCGTCGACAGTTGGGACACGGGTACCTTCTGGGATTAAAAGAGGTACAAGGAGATGTGTAATGGGTATCCGTGTTAATTTTTTGAAAAAACTCGTTCATCCGTCCAGGATCAATTACAGAGCTAACCCTGTCAGCATTTATGCTACGACCCGTAATTTTATTTACCGTTCTCCACCATTCCTTTGACCCTCGTTTAAATTTTCTGTTTTCAGCCTTGACTGCTCGAATTTGGTTCTCACGAATTAATATATTGATCTTTTCCTGAAGTTCAGGGCTAATTCCCATTCTTATTCGCCTATTTCGCATTTTGCAAAGGTGTTTTACAAGTGGAGTCATATATGGGGGGTCTCTTAGGAAACCTTTACCTTGATTAGAGAAAAACAATCATTATACATGCCTCCAATTGCATCAGTTAAAATAGAAACTGCCTCACTAGCATCCCTTGTATTGTTCACCTTGCTTTTGCAAGGGTTTGAGGCGCTACCATAACGGTTAAGTGGTCAGATCTGACAAGACTCGTAAACATGGTAGGAACTTTCCAAATATATGGACGATTGGTCAGGAATACGTCTAACGTTTTTAGGCCTCTAGTAATTTTTTTCACCGATTGATCCAAATTGTGCTGTCTAGTAAAATCTGTGATTTTTAGATGATTGATATCACCGGCAATTATTATTCTAGCACCGGGGCATTGAACAAGCGAATCAGATTTCCATTCTTTCTTGACAAGTTTTGTCGCTAAACAATCATGTTGCTTTTCAAAACTCTTTTTGCACAAAGTTGATTTGCGTGGGAAAACTTTGAGTTAACAAAGTGTCTTTTTGTGATGTTGTCTCTGAGTGTGTCCACACCAGGCAAGGTGAAAAGTTTCATTGCTTGACCGTGGTGGAAATCGAATCCCCGACCTTTGGTTTGCTACTAGTCAAATTCTCTACCAACTGAGCTACGAGGTCAAGTTGGTTCGATTAGGTGATGATTTCCACCGCGGCAAACTTCAGCTTTCCCGGTGCATGTGGACACACTTAGAGACAACATCATCAAACATGTATCTTCACCTGAGTGCATAACACCAGCATGGCCGTTCCTAGACGCGATAATTGGGGGGAGGTGTAATATTCATATGTTCATATTCACATACCGTAAAAACAATCGCTTTCAAAAGACACGAATATATGAATATACATCCC